CAAGATTAACTAATAACATATGTTTGCTTCCAGTATCTGGAGACGACATAACTTCAGCCGTCAGAGCTAAGCCCTAAATTTCCCGCTATTCGTACATACATATAGCCGGAAATAGTGGTGTTGATTAGCTCTCCTTCCCTTACATTCACTTACAATGCTCGAAATTGCTGAAGTGCTTTGATTATATTCTCATTTACGACATAATGCAGGCCCACATGGGCTCAGGCCAGGAGAAACACAATTACAAAACAAAACACAGAATTTCAAAAGTCCAAAATAAGCAAATAAACAGCATACATTTTAACTTAATGTTCGAACATCAAAAATTTAGTTAGGTTAATCAATTCAACTGAATAAATAAATTACAATAGGCAGTGCGTTCTGTTCGTGCATATTGCGAAGGAAAAAAAAGGAAACTTGAAGAAGTCAGGTCTCGTTTTATAGGGATCTGGAGGTTTAGGGTCATCATGTCTGGCTATTATTATTTCTAACGGTCATAGATATGAACCAGGTTTAAAAGGGAGTATGTTTCAAGCAAAAAGTAAATTGAAGCCTGGGTGTTTTACGTCGTAATTTGAAAGTTTGCATATTATACATTGAGTATCCACGAAAGCTCTTGGCAAGTTGGTGCTACGGAATTTCCAAAAAAGGTTAATGCGACAGCTTTGTGCTGAACCTTTTTAAGTGCGTCAATAAAGGAGCGTAGTTAGGAAATTTATTTCAGTGGTAAAGGCGCACCTCCCAGACTTCGTGAGGGCACCCTCTCAGAGTGGTCCTTTTTCACTCTGTACGCCACGGCGCAAAAAAAAAAATAATAATTTGAGAGGGGGCACTGGTCCGGCGTGCCACATCTTGGCTACACCCCTGTATTTTTGTCGGTGTGAGGATCCTAGATAGTGCAAGCGTGTTCCAGTTTTGGCCTCATTAGTGCTTTGTATACTTGATGCCCCTGCTACTTTGCCGAAAACTACTGAGGCAGCTCTGTAACATCCGGACCAGCATGGCACTACTGGACTGTGTTTATAATGTCCACTACCAAGACATCCATTCAATTTACTGGATACATAAGGCACTTCCACTCAAGCAAACGAGTACGCCTGCGAGAAAGGGACGACCTCTTGGTGCATCCGACCTTTACAGCCTATACTACCGCAGTGCTTGTATACCCGTTTGTTTCATGTTCAACTTGCCCTAACATTCTAAATATTATTATTTACTATTGCCAGCAGCCGCATTCCTCCATTCCATATCGCATGCTGCTCGCATAGCTCTACTTCTCCGAAGTTCTAGCCATAGTTCCAAAATGCAACAGCTGTTTTTCTCGAAAAACTTTTTTTTCCCTCTCAATGGAAGAAACATTTTCTTTCTCTCAAGTTTTCGCTCTGCTGGAGACTTGAAATATGGTTCGTGGTCTGCGCGGGTGTTGCGCGGTGAATTCACCGTGCATCAGGCGAGAGAATTTGTTATCCAGCCTAATGATGTCAAGTTCTACCCTGCGAAAAAAAACAAACAGGAAAGTTCCTACTGCAGAGAACAAACTCTAGAGGAAAGGCCATGACCTTCCATATTTCTTGAAGCGCACTTCATAAAAATGAAGTGAAGTATACGTTAGGTTCACCTAAGTTGTCTTTTTTTTTTATTTTGATAGATTTCTTGGCATCCTTTGGGTCGATAGATATTTATTCCTTGTTTTTATTTCTGTGTAGGCACCACTTAGGCACACATGCCATTTTACTCGTTTTACGGGAAAATGCTCAGTGATAGCTCTTTCTCTCTTGTCAACTTCAGAGTAAAAGTGTCTCCGTAATACTACATGACAGCCAGTAATTCAGTGAGCATTGCACCATGATTATATTGCGGCAACCACATTCGTTTAGCGCCTATTGGCTATTTTTCTACGTTGAACCTGTCGTGTAAGATATACACGAAGTCAGATAATATTTTAGGAGCTCACACACGTGCGCTATCTCTGTATTTCTTAACCACGCTAAGCACATTGATTTTATTTATTTTTAGTGAATACTCAGTTGTATAGTAGGCGCACGACTAATAATTAAGTAATAATTAGTTGATGTGTAGGGTTTAACGTCCGAAAACCATCGTATGATTATGAGAGACGCCGTAGTGGAGGGCTCCGGAAATTTAGACCACCTGGGGTTTTTTAGCCTGCACCGAAATCTGAGCACGCGAGCCTACAGCATTTTCGCCTCCATCTAAAACGCAGCCAACACAGCCGGGAGTCAATTCTGCGATCTGCGGGTCAGCAGCCAAGTACTTTAGCCACTAGCCCACCGCAGCGGGGCAGTCGGCACACGAATCCTGTCTATATTCTACACCTTGATAGTCGCTTTAAGTGGCTCCTCGAAAGAGAAAAGGCGTAAATTAGCATTTTAGTTGTTTGATGTTTGTTTAGAAGGCTTTACGAATTTGGCCTATTTAGTGCTAGAAGTGGACAACACCATTCAAAAACGCTACCAAACGAAACAACTGGCTATGTGGTCTGCGTTCCTTCGTTTCATCCGTATTTTGTTGCTCTGTCCTGCTTATAATTGTAATTACTTTTCCTAACAACCCCTATCAACTACTTCGAATGTCCGTCGTACTGTGAACCACTGTAATCTTGAATGTCGGATAGAAAAGAGAATGGCAACAGCGATGATGTCACCACCAACCGCGGTGTCTTTGCAGTTACGGTCCTCGCTTGAGACTCGAATGACGCCGGTTTGATCCCGGCCGTCGTGGCCGCATTATGGTAAAGACGAAGTGCCAGTTACCCGTGTACTGTGTGATTTCGGTGCACATTAAAGAATCTCAGCTGGTGGAAATCATCTAGAAACCTCCACTACCGTGTCTGTGATATGCTGATTTGCTTTGAGCGTTCAGCCCCGTAAACTTACAAACCAAGTGTAGTCGGACACATAGAAGTCCGAGGTATCTCCTCCTTAAAGGCATGATCATACAATACCTGCACCAATGAGCGTTACTGAAGAGTGACGTCATGAACCAGACGGCCGAAAAACATTGCCAAGTGCATGAGTGGAACTATTTCTTTGGCTGCACAGGGGATAGCAGTTACTCTTCGGCAGTCTTGGGTGGGCCTCTCTGAAGCTTCTTACGTTGTATCCTGCCTATAGTGAGATGAATAACATTTCCACGTCAGCTGGATCAGTGGCTATAGGGTGATCGGCTGCCAACTCGAAGGTTGCCGGGTTCGATCTCGGCAGTGGCGATCACATTTCGATGGAGGAGGAATGGCTGGAGACCCGTCTACTCTGCAAGGTGTGAATGCACGATAAAGATCACCAGATGGTCGAAATTTCTGAAGGGTCCCCACAATTTAGGCCTCATATTCATATCGTGTTTTGCGACGCAAAACCACACATATTAAGGGATGAATAAATCATAGCATAATCACTGGAGTGAATGATGATGATGATGAGGCTGAAGCGTCCGTCCGTCCATACGTCCGTGTGTCCATCCGTCCGTGCATGTGTTCATGCGTCCGATCGCGTGCGAGAATGCAGACGGCGCGTGGGTAATACTGACGAGACGCGAGCCAAGGAAGCCGAGCGCAAGCGTCTTCAACGCGCCTGCTACTCTGCTTCGTCCATGCGCCACCAACGATCCGCCACCAACGATCCGCCACGTACGGCGACCTATCCAGGAGACTGAGAGAAGGCACTCGTGCTCCGCGCACCCAGACACCGCCCGCGAAGCAGCCATTCGGAGAGTAGTGGTACAGCGCCATTTAGAACATCCTCACTCAGCTACAGTTTATATGTATTTCCATGAGACAGTGCTTTGTATTATACAGTTCGGGAGACACTGCCATCTTTTTCTTTCTCGTCTCCTTTTTTCTCGGTTACGCGTGACGCATGACAAGGTTAGACTATGAGGAGCTTCGCCCCTAAAAACTCGAAACGTTCCTCGTGCAATCACCTAAGATGACTCAAAGGCCAAAACCACCTTCCTTCTTTTTCTTCTCAGTCGGTGAGCTATCGGGTGCTAGTACTGCCACGCACCGTCTACATTTTTTCTCCTGAGGTCGCTGCGGGCTCTGGTTTTGTTCGCCGCTCAAATCAAAATGCTATACTCGTGGACAATTTTTCTTGGCAATGAAGGGCGAGCTGCGCAGAGGAAACTACTGCACATGCACCCTCCGCGGAGTCATCTGGTTTGGCCTGTGTTTCGAATGATGGCCGCGTTCAAATAATAACATAGCATACAATCTGCTACGTCTGTTTACAGAAACATCTGTGAGTAAGATTCGTCACAAGCTTCTTCGGCGAGTCGTCGGAATAGCTGGAGGAGGACGAGCGTTCACGTGAAGACGAAGATGCCATTTTGATTGTGAGGTGCACACCAAACGTGCGATGTTTTCACGCATGCAAAAGCGCGAATTGACGCTGCATAAGTTAAAACGAATATGAATATCTTCTTGGTGCGTACTGCGTCTCTTTATAAACTGTATCCTGTAGAAAGTAAGGTAATGTTGGTTCTTATTATTTTAATGCAAAAAACACGGAAATCGTGGAACCATATTGTGCAGCAGGGGCACACACCTACTTTGGAATCATAGCCTTCCCTTCATTGCCAAGAAAAGTTGTCAACGAGCATATCATTGTATTGTATCGCGTCACGTAACATGATGTCACGTTAGGATTCCTGACGCCATGAAAATACCATGAATATTTGCTATCTGCATGGGACCTTATCGTGCGATGATTATTTTTTTCATCACTTATTCCCGGCGCCATGGATGGTCACCGCCGACGATTGATATTCCCGTTTACGAGGCGGCTTTTGGCTTAAAATGCTTAAAAAAGCAGAGGCATAGGTATCAGGTCGACTGCGCAGTAGTGCGGCCAGCATTGATATTTCACATTTTGACGATGCAATGTAACATGCGAACATGTTACATCAAAAGAGACTTACTTTCTGAGTGGCGTAACGTATCTCCTACGTTCTACACCTAAGTATCTGTTTCTTTTCAGCGGAAAGCCTGAACCTCGTTCGAGGATGTTGGCAGACCTGCATGCCTTGACTGGATGCTAGCTCATCACCAAGGATGCTATCGCACGAAGCAGGTGAGTTTGAAGAACTGTTGATGAAGTCAGAGTCACAATCAAGCACCCCTGTTCACGCTCACCAACGTACACAAAAATGTTTTAATGCAGTGAGTATTGTCTTCCCCTTCGTAGTTTTTTAGTATTAATTTTTCTTTTACCTAAAGGCGGATGATACTTTCAGATACATGTTGCGAGCAACATCACTTCAAACTTTCCTAAAGCTTCAAGAAAGGGTATCATACTGTAATGAATGTGAATTACGGACGCTCCGCTGTTACCGAAGACGACAACCATGATCGTTGGTTGTAGTTGGCGCTCGCGCACGTTCTCACTAGTAGCCTGGCCTGCCCGATGAAAAGCTTCTCGCTCAGCAATGTCCGAACCATTCTTGACGTACACGCCCCGACGTATTTTAATATATTTATGTGGTCCCATTCGATTATATATACATCACACTGGTTAAACTTCAACCGGTTATTGTACCAGACGTGGTTGGTCTTAGTGACACGATAGTGTCTTCGTGCTTCAACCATTCATCTTCAAATAGAGGTAGCTTTAACTGTAGGCAACGCTGATTCATTCAAAACTGTTCAAATCAGTTGAACAGAATTGCAATTAACCTACGATATTACATTTCCCTATTTGGTAAACCTTTACTCTAGTTAATTCATCAAGTTAGAAGGAAGGTACAGTCAGCTCCAACCTCAAAATAAATATAAGCTCCATATATAACACCACGGTGCGCCTGTTCTTCAACTCCTTAAGATAATAGGAAAAACTTTTATTGAGAAAGCAGAGACAACAAACAAATGCATACCTCAGCAAACTAACAAAGAAAGCAAAGAGATCAACAATAGACCGTTTCTCAAATGGGTGGGGAAAGGGGGTATTTAAATTTTTAACTCTGATAATTCACGTTTTGAATTTAAAGTAACATTAATTCAACTGTCCCAATATACCAAGGTTTCATTGTGTGGCTGAACTTTCCAGCACCTGAGACGGCTCTCAGCTCTCCCGTACAGTACCAAGTACTGTAAATCGTTAACCACTTCTTCTAAACACATAGGTTTCATTGATTTCGTTCTTCGTGGTACTGGCCAGCTGGCTATTCTTCCACACCTCTGTTGTGAAAGCACAACAGAAACGGACTTCGAATGACATTTTAAATATCTCTGTCCTTGAAAAAAGAAACTTATTTTTCTTGGCCTCCTTCATTTGGTGTTCATCATGTACTAGACGAGAACAAATCGTACAGCACTGCAAATCACGTCTTAACATTATTCAGGAATAAGTATTCGTAGTTTCTTTCAAATGGATAGTCAATAAAAATCTCTAAGGTTCACCAAGTGCATAGGCTTCACTATCACGCTTGACTAGCGGAGGGACATGGAATTAGTATGAGATGAGGACGAAAAGCATTCACCATTATGACTACTTTGTTGGCTGCTTTCTGCACCGTTGATTCATCTGTTTCTTACTCTTCTTATTTCTCCTCTATCACTTCCTTTCTATCGTTTCTTCTTTTCTAAAATCTTAGTGTGGGGCAGCCAAAGCTTGGTTAACCTCCCTGCATTTCCTCTCCGCTTCCTTCCTTCTCTCTCTCTCTCTCTCTCTCTCTCATTTGTGCACCGAAGTGCGGAAAAAGAAAAATTGAGCTGAAGCTCAGAGGAGTAGACTGCAATTCATACACACAGAAGGAGGCCGATTTGCCTTAAAACGTCTACCGACAAGCACTCGCAACCAGAAATTTTATTCTTCCATTTTTTTTTTATTTTTGTGAAGCCAAATCTTTCACGCACGACAAACGACCAGGCATAAGTTCTATCTCACTGACAGAAAGCGCCCCACGGAAGCAGCCGAAATACGCAATCATACCTCCTCAGTCGCCTGCAGGCAATTCCTCGGAGAGTGAAGGAGAAAGCGTGAGAAAAAGAAAGCGAGAAAAAAAAACAGGATGCTACGGAGGTTCTCGCAAATTGAGCGCGTATGCAGTTTCCTATACCGGCGTCCAACCATAGGTCCTTTTTTTTTCGTTTCTCCTTATTCTGAGGATCAGTAAGTAGTAAGCAACGACATGTAATTTCTGAATAGGTCCTCTTTTTTTCGTTTCTCCTTATTCTGAGGATCAGTAAGTAGTAAGCAACGACGTGTAATTTCTGTGACAAAAGTAAAAAAAAAACACAGAAATGGGAGAGCGCGCAAACTTTAAGGGTATTCGAGTCATGAACGGCAAACAACCACGAATCTCGCTTTGCCAGCCACACCAGTGCAAGGGGTTATGCCAGTTTAATTCTAAGCTCGCAGACGTGATTTAACGGGCTCTATATGCCGTTTTCGTTCATGCGCCACTTAATTTTTTGTTCTTGCTTATGTTCCTTGTTTCACTTTTACGTTTACGTTGAGAACAAATCGAAGTTCCTTCCATTCGACACCACCACCGTCTGCGTTCCATGGTCGTGCCTGATTCAGCCGCTTATGCGGGATTTGAAAAATGGAGCCGCCGACTGAGCATCTATACATCAGCAGAGCTGCTGAATTCGCGCTATTCCCCCTCCCCCGCTCCGCTTGAATTTCTATTCTTTGTGTGTGTCTTGTACGTCATGGCACTTTTCATTCCTTTTCACCGTTGAGATAAGCCACAGGGAGTGCGAGAGCAATGCTGTGCAGTCGATGACACGAACATTTCTTTTGAGTTTCTTTTTATTTATTTTTTATGGTTTTCGCAACTTAACATCAGAGTTACCTGACCAAGCATTACTCCGAGTAAAGCGTGCGTCTGCGAAAAAGTTTAATGTCACTTTTGACGTCAGTGCGAATGCATGATCCGGGCTTAACAAGCTCGACACTTTCGTTTATAAAAGCTGGAATGACGTGGGCGTTTTTAAAGGACGTTTTGTTTTTCTCGTTCGCGAAACGTCAAATTTAAACTTCTTTCATAATTTTGAACTCGAAGGGATTTCGCGAAACCATGAAAGCTTTAAATATGGGGCGAAGCGCAAAAAATTTTACTCTCATGAGAGCATCTGTATAATTTCCGCAATTATGACGCAGCACGAAGGTCTTACACGTATAAAAAAGTTGCATCAGCGAAATTTGTCTTATAACTCAACTGGCCAATGCAAGCCGCATTTCAGTTTGTTCCGTCTGCCTGGCCACGTAAACATGCTAATGATATCAAGCGATAGGACAGCTCCAAGTACGTTTAAATTTTCGGGAATTATATAGCCCTCGAGAGCAAAGACCAAATAGCACAGTTTCCCCGCAAGGGTCAAGCAATTTATGTGGTAGCAACGAACTGTAATATCATACGAATAACGACACGCAACTCTAAACTTTTGCTTTAGGTACAAAGCACGAATTTTTAGACTGTGAATAAATATCATTTTCCCGAAACGCTTGAAATTTGAGCTCCCTATTGTACCTTTTAGGTGTATTTCGGTGAAAAACGTTGTTTGAATTAGTTCTCTCTACTTTTCTTATACATTGTTTCTTTGCTTTTGCTTGCAGATGGCTGCATTGCTCCTGGTGCTCATAACAGTGCATGTTTCCATTTTGATAGTCACCGATGCAGTGAACCCAGGTAAGCTGACGCATCGGGGCAAATGATAGTAATGTTAAAATCGTCAAAATCTATTGTAATGAAAATGTTTCATATAGCCTAGAGAACTCGCACCCCTAAACACGGACAATCATCGTAAGAACCACTGAATTTGACATCATACCTCACTTCTATGGGCCACTGAAATAGTACCTTCCTTTTGATTAAGAAGAAGCTTTAAGAGGGAATTTATTTAATGCCCAACTATAACGGCTCTTTTTCGCTTGAGGATAAGTCATGTTAATCAACAGAGTTTCTTTACGGATATCTAGCATCTTCCCAGTATCTTATGAGTGTGTAAGGTAAATAGTACATGTAACTAGTCCAACGTGCAAGAAGAAACTCATCGCAGCTCTTTATGCTTCTTTCAAGTTGATCATTAACTTCATTACGCCGTAAGGGACTTCTATTGACTTGAGCTGCAAGCACTCAGACATGACTCAACAAGACAAAAGTATGCCTGTTCTTTTAAAGGGACCCTGAAACGGGTTTGACGATTTTTTAAAAACACATTGGGCCGGTAGACCAAGTCCCGATGGTAATTTAGAAACCAATTTGAGCTCTCTGCGTAAACTGTGAAGTTTCTTACAACGCTTTAAAGCTGCGAATCGCTCCAGATCGCTGCAGATCGCAGCGACTCGGAAAACACGTTTTCAACTGCCCATACACCAAGTGACACGCTCTGCCCCACTGATGTCATCGTTTCCAGCTGATCTGATTGGCTGTAGAACGCGCAGCACAGACTGTCGGTATCTGATCGGTGGCGGGATTTAAGCGTATACGGTCGCACGCCACATCTTGACGCAGGCGCCGTGAAGACGGAGCTTAGCCCCGAGCGCTCGAAGGAAGAGTTGAGGGCAGCTGAGGGTGAATGGCGGAGTGGAGGAGGAGGGTACTTTTTAAGTGTGAATACACTTTATAAGCGACCCCAAACCATCCACCGCCGTCGGCGGCGTCCGCAGTCTTCTCTCTATCTTTAAAAGAAAGAGGACCTGGCGGGCCGCAGCGCGACGCTCTACCGAATAAGCCACGGACGTGACGCTGATATCGGTGTCAGTAACGCGCCTTATACCCCCTCCCCCTTCGCTCGCTCTTTCGCTCTCCTCGCTCGCTGCAGCTGCGCGCGCATCCCTCTCTCTCGCGCGCCCGCCTTCTCTCTCAGTCTCCCGTCGAGAGTGGGTCGTGAGGGGGAGTAAAGTTAAAATCCGCGGCATTCGCCAGTGAGTTAACGTAAACTCCTCGTGTGATCAAATTGCGATTCTCAGGAACCATTACACCATAAAGGCACCATAGTGTGATTAATAAATATAATAGTGCGAATTAATAAATACCCCTCATAGCATCACCCCGTGTATTCGCACTTAACCATGTTCACCCTCGGGGAAATGCTTGGGAGTTTTTTAGTACTCGTAGCTCCATTAATAACGGCTGTTTCGATTGAACTATTGCGCCAATGATTCGCTCCAGTGGTGGTCTAATCAAAAACCAGTATATATATATATATATATATATATATATATATATATATATTAAGTGTGAATACACTTATAAGCGACCCCAAACCATCCACCGCCGTCGGCGGGGTCCGCAGTCTTCTCTCTCTCTCTCTCTCTCTCTCTCTATATATATATATATATATATATATATATATATATATATATATGTATATTATAATGAGGCGTTTTAGAGTGGCACTCTTTTATAAAACAGGAGAGCGGTCACGACACGTCAAGTGGTAATGGCGGAACTAGCCTTTCTTCACCGACTGAGTCATACCCCCTGCCCTTCTGAGTAGCATTCATCTTCTTCACTACATTTTCCTCCCCTCCGGAAAAGAGCCATCCTGGCGACTCATGGGCAGGAGACAATAGAGGGATCGTAATACGGTTTTAGGTGGTCTATGTGGACGGTCTCACGTCCACGGCGTCGTTGATCATGGGGCTGCTCAAGCGGCTCCACGATGTAATTGACGGGTGAAGTTTGTTTAACCACACGGTAAGGTCCGTCATACTTGTACATCAGTTTCGTTGAGAGACAAGGGCTGGTTGAAGGGATGCGAAGCCAGACAAGGTCATCCGATGCATAAGAAGCGGGAGGCGTCGGGCTATCGCGGTGGTGTTTCTGGCGTTGCTGTTCAGCACTTGTGAAGGAGCGGGCAAGCTGACGACACTCTTCCGCGTATTTAGCAGCTTGTGACATCGTCGTCGACCCAGCAACATTCGGGTGGTAAGGAAGGATGGTGTCTAGCGTGCAAGAGGGCTCGCGACCATAAAGGAGGAAATATGGCGAGAAACCAGTGATTGTCTGGACAGCAGTATTATGCGCGTAGGTTACAAAAGGGAGAATACTGTCCCAATTTGTGTGATCGGTTGCGACGTACATCGACAGCATATCTCCTAATGTACGGTTGAATCTTTCTGTAATGCCATTTGTTTGAGGATGATACGCGGTGGTGGTGCGATGAATGACTTGGCATTCCTTGAGAAGCGATTCGACAGCGTCCGACAAAAACACACGCCCTCGGTCACTCAGGAATTCACGTGGTGCACCGTGACGTAAAATGATCTAATGCAGTATGAAACGACGGACGTCGCTGGCTGATGCAGAAGAGAGTGGTGAAGTTTCTGCGTAGCGCGTAAGGTGATCGATAGCGACGATTACCCAGCGATTTCCAGCTGGTGTAATCGAAAGAGGTCCATACAGATCAATACCAACATGGTCAAACAGTCGGGCAGGACAAGGTAAGGGTTGTAGTGGAGCTGGAGAACTTGGAGTGGGATTCTTCCGGCATTGACAAGCGAGACAGGAACGTACGTAGCGACGGACGAAGCGATACATTCCACGCCAGTTTTAGCGGTGGGACAGGCGGGTGTAGGTTTTTAACACTCCAGCATGGGCGCATTGTGGGTCGGCGTGAAAGGAGGCGCATATGTCTGAGCGGAGACGTCTGGGAATGACTAGAAGCCATTGGCGTCCTTCAGAGAGATAATTACGTCTGTGTAGCAAACCATCTCTGATAACGAAGTGCTGTATTTGACGGCGCATACCTGTAGGGATATTTTGCGAGGGAGTTCGATTCGACAAGTTCATAAGTGAAGCGATCCAAGGATCTTTTCATTGCTCCTGTCGCATGTCACTGACACTAAGTGCAGATACGTCGGGGGCAGGCGAAGACGGCGGCTTGTCACTACATCGTAGAGGTGATCGGGACAAAGCGTCTGCGTCGGAATGTTTTCGGCCAGATCGGTAAACGACGTGGATGTCGTACTCTTGTAGCCGAAGCACCCAACGGGCAAGCCGGCTGGTGGGATCTTTTAACGAGGAGAGCCAACATAATGCATGATGATCTGTATCCACGCTGAATGGGCGCCGGTAAAGATATGGTCGAAACTTGCCTATGGCCCATATGATGGCTAGACGCTTTTTTTCGGTGACTGAATAATTGGCTTCTGCTTTTGTGAGTGCACGGCTGGCGTAAGAGACGACGTACTCATCAAATCCAGTTTTACGCTGGGCGAGCACAGCACCGAGGCCAACTCCGCTAGCATCCGTGTGTATTTCCGTCGGCGCAAGAGGATCAAAATGTCGCAGTATAGGAGGTGACGTAAGAAGGTGGCGGAGTGTGGCAAATGCATCATCACAAGCTGACAACCAACTAGAAAGGTCGTTGTTGCCGGCAAAAAGGTCAGTCAAGGGCGATATGATGGAGGCGAAGTTGCGAATAAAACGACGAAAATATGAACATAAACCGAGGAAGCTGCGAAGTTCTTCTAAGGTCTTCAGCTTGGGAAATTCGGCAACGGCACGGAGTTTCGTCGGATCCGGAAGAATGCCATCTCTAGATACAACATGGCCCAAAATTAGGAGTTGTCGAGCGCCGAAGCAGTACTTCTTCAAGTTGAGCTGTAGACCGGCGGCGGTGAGGCAAGTAAGCACTGTCTCGAGCCGCTGAAGATGCGTTGAAAAGTCGCTTGAAAATATTACGACATCGTCTAACTAGCACAGACATGTCTGCCATTTCAGGCCACAGAGGATGTTGTCGATCATGCGCTCGAAAGTGGCAGGCGCATTGCAGAGCCCAAATGGCATGACGTTAAATTCATATAAGCCATCAGGGGTAACAAAAGCCGTCTTGGGGCGATCAGCCTCAGCCATGGGAACCTGACAGTAACCTGAACGCAGATCTAGTGACGAGAAGAACTCCGCGCCTTGTAAGCAGTCAAGGGCATAGTCTATGCGAGGTAGCGGGTAAACATCTTTGCGCGTGATCTTATTCAACCGGTGGTAGTCGACGCAGAATCTTATTGAGCCATCCTTTTTCTTGACTAGAACAACTGGGGAGGTCCACGGGCTGTTAGAGGGCTCAATAACACCTCGCTTCAACATGTCGTCAACTTGTTCCGCGATTATGCGACGCTCAGATGCCGATACCCGATACGGACGCTGACGTAAAGGAGCGTGAAGGCCAGTGTCGATTTCGTGAGATACTGCGAAAGCACGGCCCAAAGTCAGTTGCTGGTGGTCGAAGCTGGCGCGGAAGCACTCGAGGAGGGCGATGATGTCGGTGCGCTGCTGGGCCGTAAGATTGGTGTCGATGCAGCGCGAAATTGCGTCGGTGAATGATGGGGAAGAGGATGACGCGCAGCAATCAACAGCATCAATAGGTAGCGTAGTCGAGTGATCAGGAACTACACGTGCACTTGAGGGATCAATGTCATCGGCAAAGCCCAGGCACTCTCCGCACAGTAATTTGGAAGGCGAGGGAAACGGATTTGATACATAAATTGCACTTGATCCATCGTGAATATTCAGCACGGCGAAAGGAATCAGGAAGCACTTGCGGCGAACAGCGGTTTCAGACGGCGTAAAAAGAACAGTTGAGCCACTAGAGACGTCACAGGAAAGCGGAACTAGGGCGGACGAGAACGGGGGTATCGAAGTGTCGGCGGCAACGAAAACTTTTGCAGGTGAAAGGGACGAGTCGAGGGAAGCAGCGTCGCATAACGGCGCGAACTCCACTTCCACGCGAGCACAGTCGATGACGGCATGATGAGTGCAGAGAAAGTCCCAGCCTAATATAATGTCATGGGAACACTGCGGGAGCACTACAAACTCGACGACATAAATATTGTCAGCAATAACGACACGTGCTGTGCATGCAGCAAAAGGGCGAATTCGTTGCTCGCTCACAGTGCTTAAAACGAAGTCGTGTAGAGGCATTGTGACTTTTTTTAGTCGACGGCAAAGTTTTTCAGTCATTACAGACAGTGCGGCGCCAGTATCGACCAATGCAAAAACAGGTATACCTTCAACGGAGACAGCAACGACGTTGGACGGCGAAAAACAAGGTCTTGTGGAGTTCGAAAGATCCGCAGTTCTTGCCCCCGGAACTGCGGCTCCTAGTTATCTTCACGGACAGGGCGAGGTCGACGTAGCATAGGGGAAAGGGAACGGCGTTGAGGTGAAGGCGACCAGTTTCTGTTGAAGTTCCGGCGAGGTGAAAATGTGTCCATGGTGGTAGTCTCGCCATATACAGCCGGCTCCAGTCGTGGGGGTAAATCATATTTGTTGGGCCTGACGTCGTCACGCAGGAAAAAACTCACGCCGTCGACAAAATCGTGCCACGTGACCCGCAATTTCACAGGCGAAGCATATGGGGCGGTTGTCTTGAGTACGCCAAGGGTTCTGAAAGCGTGGAGGTGGTGGTCGGGAGAAAGGACGGGTAGCCTGGTACATGGGCTCAGTCGGTACGACAAAGGGACGCGTGGACGTAGGCGTTCACGACAAAGAAACGTGGCCGTCCGCGACAGGTGGACGTCGGGTTCCGTTCAGTGCTTCGGCATAGGTCAATGGAGCAGCCACAGGTGGTTGGTAGCGCCTCGGACACTTGCTCCTGGACTACTCGCTGTATTGATGGCGCTAAAGTATATGGGGCACCTTCGGAGGTATAAGGCACGAGGGACAACTGGCGTGCGACCTCCTCTCGTACAAATTGCTTGATCTCGAGAAGCAAAGTGGTGTGATCTATAGAGCCAGCCGACGTTAAAGCGGAGATTGTTGCACATGGCGCGGTGGCACGACGAGTGGTGTCACGCTCCAGAGCTCATCATAGCTCTGACACAGTTGGATCACTTCCCCTACCGTTTACGGGCTTTTGGCGACAAGCATCTAAAATGCGGCGTCAGTCACGCCTTTCAAGATGTGTTTGATCTTCTCGGCTTCTGTCATGGCCGAGTTGACACGCCGGCAAAGGTCGACCACATCTTCGATATAACTGGTGTGATTCTCACCATTCTGCTGAGCTCTTGTACGCAAGCGCTGTTCGGCCCGTAGTTTGTGAAGCGATGGACGGCCAAACAAGTCCGCAAACGCCGTTCGGAAGGCCGACCAGGTGGGGAGGTCTCTCTCGTGATTACGGTACCACAGACTGGCGACGTCGGTCAAATAAAATTGGACGACAGTAAGCTTGCGCGCATCGTCCCACTTGTTGTGCTTGCTCACCCAGTCCTATTCGTCGAGCCAGTCTTCCACGTCTTTGTCATCGGTTCCACTGAAGGTAGGTGGATCGCGTTGCCGAAAGGAGCCAAGACAGACAGGAGCTGCAGTAGTTGGAGCCGAGGCGGCCGCCTGCTGATCTTCGTCCGTGGACATCGTAGCAACTGGAGGCAACGTACGGTTTCGCAGTTCCAGGATTAGGCGTTACCCAGCACTCTCCACCAATTATAATGAGGTATTTTAGAGTGGCATACTTTTATAAAAGAGGACAGCGGTCACGACACGTCAAGTGGTAATGGCGCAACTAGCCTGAGTCCCCAGCCAACCAAACGTCGTCTTCTTCACCGACTGAGTCATACCCCCTGCCCTTCTGAGTAGCATTCATCTTCTTCACTACAATATATATATATATATATATATATATCGGTGTCAGTAACGTGCCTTATATCCACATGGTAGCGTTGCCTCCGGGACATCCATCGCACAACCCGCTCTCGACGGGAGACTGAGAGAGAAGGCGGGCGCGCGAGAGAGAGGGGTGCGCGCGCAGCTGCAGCGAGCGAGGAGAGCGCAGGAGCGACACCGATATCAGCGTCGCGTCCGTGGCTTATTCGGTAGAGCGTAGCGCTGCGGCCCGCCAAGTCCTCTTTCTTTTAAAGATAGAGAGAAGACTGCGGACGCCGCCGACGGCGGTGGATGGTTTGGGGTCGCTTATAAAGTGTATTCACACTTAAAACGGAATGTGAAAAAACCGTTTCAGGGACCCTTTAAGAGCGGAGCTGTTCAAGCCCGAGGTTTATCCCTGTAGCGTAGACATGCATACATATCTCGATGGTGAGGTGGATGGAATGGAGGTGGGTAGAGGGTGAATCGTTGCACAGGCTTGTATAGTATGACATAGCAAGGCGGTTGGAGAGGAAAAGGTGAGGATGAGATCGAATGATTTGAAGGTGAGGTGGAAAGAGAGGATGTGAGCGGAAAAGGGAAGGGAGGGTGACGAGAAGTGAAAAAGGAGGGTAGCGCCAGCAGCTCCGCTATTTCCTCAAGCTTCGCAGCCCTATAGTGCTTAGCTACCCCCATTTTTATCATTCGCTGCATTTTTAGGAGAGAGAGGGGGTGATGCTTATGAATATACACGTGCGTAAGTATATGAGCATTCAATGCACATAGGCAATCGTACATTAGTATTCGTGCGGGCTTGCATATATATATATATATATATATATATATATATATATATATATATATATATATATATATATATGTATATATATATATATATATATCCAGTAAAATTATTTCTTATTTTGCGGTAGACCAATTTCTGATAACTGCAGAACAGAAAAACGGCAATATACAAGACGCTGTCTAGCTATCGCTCGAAAAACTTCTGAACAAATGGCACCTAACATTTCTTATTATTGAAATCAAATTGACGAGTCTGCATGAGCGTGTGCCTGTGTGTCCACGAGTGCAAGTCTGTCCAGTTTTCTGCTTCTCATGTAGCTATACGGGAGCCGCCTATTGCTTCCATGGAACCTATAATTTGTTCCGTAAGCGCACGCGGCTGTTCGCGAGACCGGCTATTTTGTCAGACTAACAATTACAATGTTTTGCGGACTAACAAACTGGTGTCCCGAACATGTCAAGCTTTTGAGCAACAGTTGTGACATGAAAACAGTTTAATGACAAGGCAGAGTGAAGTGGTCTTCCCTTGGCCAGCTTCCGGACACCTCCGCTTGGTACTGCAGTGCGTTATTTTAGTTATAGTTTTCACTGCACGGTGACCTTTCCGCCATCATCGCAGTGAGGTGGCAGCTGTGGTGGCTCTCCTCTCAACCCAGCTCAGTTCAGCAGCTCCGTTATGCTAAATAAGCGTCTCGTGGGTATCAATTAGCGCCGGCTAGTGTAACGCAGGGGAAACAGACGCAGTGCTAACAAGGGGCCTGTGGGGCCTGCTGTAACGGGGAGCCTCTATGTGCCTAATCAGTGTTATTACCTGCCGCTTGGGCCAGATTGTGGTAATTGAGTTACACTGGTATAAATACGCTGAGTAGCTTTCGTATAACTGTACATTATATCAAAGGTAGGCAGCCCGTAGCTCACGGGGTGCTGCGCGTGCAGTTTTCGAGAGTGTGTAAGCCTCGTTATCTAGGACACTTTTATATTTTCTTTGTTTTCAACTTATGTGCGCTCAACTCCCATCGATCTTTTCTACAGCGTGTAGCAAACGCAAAGTCGTTCAAAACACCAGGTCTCTATGTGGTGAGTGGTGCAAAGTTTTGGTACTGAAAAAATAATTTCTTTGCCTTTTTTTTAGGAGGGGGGAATACATTAACGAAAACCTGCTGAAGCTGCAACCTTAGCATTAGAAGGTCTTAGGTTTGGTCCGAGCCAGCGGCATGTCTTTTCGTACACAGTACTCTCTACATAGTTACATCGCAATCATTAAGGACAACATGTCCCATACTTTCCTTGATTTTTTTGGTCGGTTAGCTCTTATCATTGAATATAGAAAGTAACTTCCAAACAAGACGTGCCATGTTTTCTCTTTGGAATCGTCCCCTTTCCTACAACCCCTCCCTCACTGCGCGTGCAGGTTGTAGCTGCGTACTGTTCGACAGCATGTACGGAAAGGAGCACGGCATCTTCACCTCTCCCAACTGGCCGACGCCTTACGAGAGGAACACAAATTGCCTCTTGTACACGTTCGTGGGCGAGCCGGACGACATCGTTGAGCTCACCTTTGATGAGTTCGACGTCCAGAAGAAAAACGATGAGTGAGTACCCTTGGGCATACACTGCACATTACGTTGAGCTAGTTTTTTTTTTTTTAATCTTTGCTGTGTGATTCGTATAATATAACTATTTTTTGTCGATTACAAGCTTTTCTTTCTGAGAAATCGGAATGGGTTTCCTTGCAACATACCGGGAGAAATGAATTAATGGAAACCTGCCCTTTCTTGTGGTCGTGTTTAACAATTTCTTTCATAATACCACCAACGGTTCATGGTTGATTCATTAGAGTGGCTTAGGTTCAATGCAAAAATAATAATCATCATTACCTCGTGTTGAGACGGTTTCTAATTGGTATAGTGGTAGGAAAAAATGGATTCTATAACAGTTGCGCAGATGGCATTGTCCTTCGTAACATTTTACAAAACACTTTTGAAAAACGAAGGAAAGTTGTGGTAAGTCGTGGTGGATCTGCAGATTAATCCAATACTGCACATAAATGACCTATTACGCATAACCCGCTGCTTGCTCAATGATGTCGGAGAGCAAATGCACAATGGTCGAATCCGTCTACTTCTGTCTTCCCCGTGAGCTCGTTTGACAACCCGCTGGTTCAAACAACAACCCGCTTAAGTCGCAATAAGGATAATGACAGTTAAACTAAGTTCGGGTTATTACGCAGTCATGCTGTGTAATAAAACCGAATTCACCTTACTGAATCCTTCAGCACAGTTAACGACCCCATGCGTCTGTCTCCTCTTTAGCTTTTTTCTTTAATTTCACATCTAAAATTGGTAGGCTTCAATACCTGGGTCCTAAAGTTGTTCAAGATCCCTTGAGCGTAATAGATGAGCAGAATAATGGTAAGTCCCGCAACAATATTAGAAACAGCTTTAACTGTACTTATGACGAGTCATTATTTGGTGCTTCTACAGGCTACACATTTTTTAGCTGAAATTCTACACGCTTCCACTAGGTTACTAACACTGTACTGTTTTCTCGTTTATTCCTTCTTTTACGTTTTTTTTTATTTGCTATGTCATCCTTGACAAGGTTCGCGATAGTATTCATTCTTCATTTTTCGCAGCGCAAAGATCGCCTTTGCCTATCATTATTCTTGGTATCTCGTTCCTGGCTCTTTCGTCCACTGCATTCTCTGTGCGACTTGAGTGAAGCTTCACACTGCTGGGGCTCTTAAAAGTTCATTATGAAGATGCGCATAATTTTTTTATCGTTTTACTAGCTACACTAAAAGGACAATAACTGTACATATGAAGAAGAATATGGAGGCATACCTAAAAAGTGCCTTATTTCCAAACACACACTACTCATATATATATGAACATGTAATCAAACAAAACAGTGCGTCCCATCACAGCTCAGAACATCTACTTTATTTAGTACATCTATGCTAGTGCTGCAGATTTGGAGGTTGTGTGCAGGTTAGTTCAGGCGAAGCTTTCGGCAGAGTCTCGTTCATAGACTACGAACTCAATTCATTTTTTAAGCTGGTCTGCGTGCCTCGTGTACTTTGAGACTTGTTCGTTTCTACGAACGCATATTTAAGCTCCTTACAAGCTTAATGAGGGCTTTCAACGCATAGCTGAAACCCTCCTCCCACTGTGCTTTTTTATGTGATTATCTTTTTCTAAGCCCACACGGCCCAGGTCAGCGTTAGGAATGCGGGTTAAAATATGGTGCCAGCCTCACTTCAGCACGCACTCTGCATATAGAGCAGCAAACTCATTTGCGGCTAAATTGGACCTTGCGTAAGCAGAATCGCTGTGAAAGAGTCTACCACAGCCTAGATTTTGTATCGTTTTGCATGCGTTCAACAAGGCTAAATATTTGCGCTTTTTTGGGCCTTTGAGCGCCTTCTAGTTGAAACTTAGCATAGTCGAGGAGCATAATTTGATTGCACAGGCCCTCTGGCGTTTTCAGCGAGCTTTTGATTAAATTAATGATAGAGCGAGCGTCCCCACATTACCCTGCATAATTTACATTTCCAATTTATGTGTAGGAAATAAGCCCAGAATAGCCAACATGGCATTAAAAACAGTATTTTTCATTGTACCTGGCCATGATATTAAATTATATTGCTTCTGAGCTTCACGGTTCTTTCCTTTTTTTGTGAAGCTTCACAGAAACATATTGCAAATTTATCAATATTTATAATAGCCGTTACGAAGCAACCAGCTCATTTTCAAGCACCGTTATTAGACAAGGTTTTTCGTTATACTTATTTGCTCAGTGCCAAATTTACAGAGCCAAACATGCTTACAACATGCTTCCTTATAAACGGTACGCCGTGTCTTAGTCAAGCGCACAGTTACATTAGCGAGTGCTGAAAACACAGTGAACACAAAAATTACATTTGTGTTGGCCAATTTCAGCACTGTCTGTTCTCATATTACCAATGTTGTACCATTCCTAAGAGCCTGCCTAAAGACGTTTGCCGATGCTGATTGTCCCACGAACATTTTACAAACAGCATACACCGCTTTCTCTGTTCTAGTTTTCGTCTGTGTTGTTCGGCGTTCTCTCAAACATCTGAAAATATATCAAAAACTTGCCCGAATAACTACATTGATGTCTTACAAACAGTGTTACGCAGCGTGTAAGTGGCCTCCGCCACATCATGAAAACCCGGTGTAGTTGTGGCGAAGAACCATTACACAAGTAAATATATCATGCGCATAAAACTTCAAAGAACCTGTGGCATAACACAGAGAAGTGAATGGAGAATACACAATTCAATATCGACAGCGAAGCCAGTCTCAACATGTGAGAACGAAAAAAAATATTTACTATCATTCAATGAAAAAAAAATTATGTAATTGAGCATAGAGAAATAAACCCTTTTGGAGAAGATTAGTAGAAAGAAAGGGCGAAATGAAGAGGACAACATGCAGGTTACCCAGAGACGTCATTTGGTATTTTCCCTTCACCTATAAAAATTGATAAGAAAGAGTGAATATATATTATATACTGTATTTTCCAGTGTGTTAACCGCAGCCATTACTATGACTTACGCAGTTTAAAAATATTAAATTCATAGTTTTGTCAAAGGGGCAAAACAATGAATGTAATCGCAACATATTCGAATGTTTTACGAAGCATGGTTAGCATTTTTAGGAGCAATATTAGTTGTAGTAAACATGCGCTTCCTAATTAAGCTCGTTTTCTGCGGCGCGGCCACAGTAGATGACCACAACAAGGCTCGTGCGTAGTGACGGCTTTCGTATACGAAGTGAGGCTGGCAGTGAACTCATTCAGATTGGATCTCACGTAACTTTACAAAACGCTGGTGTAAGAAAACGCAGCCGCTTCAGCGACACTTTTGGCGTATACTTTTTTTTGTGCTGAGAGCGCAGCTCGTAGAAGCTCCCACCAATATGGAGGCACAAGCCGCGCGCTGATTGTTGCCGCTATAGCACGGCAACGATGAGCGCCCCTCCCTTCCTCCTTTTCCTTTTTGGCTCACGAGATAAACGCGCGTGCAAACGACCCCGGGCGGAAAGGCGATGTTCCCTCAACAAAAACAGGAGGCTAGCGCATCCTTCCCCGTATATGTATACATGCATATACATGTACATATACATGAATGACGGGAGCTCCGGTGGTGGCGGCGACGACGGCGAAAACCAGCCGAGACTGTCCATAGAATCGCTATCGCAATAATAATAATGACACCGCTATAGAACAAGGAAGCTGCCTTTTTTTTTTGCACAGCTGGTAGACACTGTCGTGAAGCCACCTTTGTAAGCATTGATAGCTTAAAAGCATTTGTAAAAACTAGTCAACTATTAGTACAATATTACAGATATTAACACAAACTACACAAGGCCACAATACCTTCCTGTCAGCAATGCTAGTGGAACGTTAGTTTGGCCTGTTTGGTGGAGCACTACTATCGAAAATTGTTACGCGCCTAACAGACGGCAGGGACAGCGCCTGTCGTTTGTCTACCCGTCTCCGTTAATCGTTGAGCGCTTCACCACTCTCGGTAATAAAGAAAGTTAGGGTCAAGTCAAGCAGAAGATAGTAGTTGATAACAGGGCGTATTTAAAGTGAGGTGCACCTTGAGAGGCCAGGCTGACGCATGCTGTCATCGTTGTCTGGCCTAACGCTCCTTGCGTAGCATAGTGAGCGTGTGCTCGCGCCAAGAAGCTTTATTCCTCTTGTTCTTCGAGTGTCCTGATGATAATAAGTGAGTGCGCGGTCGCGCCAAGGATACTCCTGTCATTCTTCGGGTGCCTTGATGATAATCACTTATTATCGTCACCAAAGAAGCAACTCCTGCACTTGGCGTAATGCCGGCATAAACACGTATTAAAATAAAAAGTAAGGCCGAAGCAACCGTGAAATAGAACAAAAGGGAATTAGATGAAATAGGAAGAAAGCAGAAAGAACAAGACATAGAAATAAATTGATTAAAATGGAAGAAAAAATAACTAAAAAAAGACCAGGAAATACTGAGAAGGAGAAAAGGAAATAAAGACAAAACTAAAGAGAAACAAAGAAGGATGCCCAGCTCCAAACTTCCTTCAGGTATAGCCCCCCTGGTGCGAGGCCACCATAATTTATTGCTTGTATATAAGTAACTCTATTCTTATTCGAATTAACCTGAACATTTGTTTTTTTTAATTGATAACTCTTGTGCCGCCCTCAACTTCACGCTAAGCGCGCATTCCTTTGTGGACAGGTGCCTGAGTGGGGACTTCGTGCGCCTGTTCCTGCACCTGAACGAAACGAGCGTGGGCGAAGCGACGCCCTGGAACTCGGTGCTGTGTGGCACTGAAGTCGACATCGAGCAAGTACACTACTCGGCCGGCCAGGCGTTGGTATTCGAGTTCCACTCGGATGGCCAACACGGAGACAACACTGGGTTCAGGGGCACCTATCGCTTCATCAAGAAGAGTGAGTTTGCACTAGTGTGCTGCACTTCATGCTCCTTTGAGTATTCTCTAAAACCCTTTGTGAACTTGTGGAAGCCATGAAGAACCACTTACAGCGAGAGAAAAAAAGGGTGTAGGGACTGGGGGACTAGTGGTTTGTCATAGTGAAAGTCACCGACTTTGGTAGAAAAGAAAAACTCAAGCACTTTTCTAAGTAATATATACATTTTTAAGTCGTGTTTATATGTAACAAGATCTAGCATGTCTCACAGCCTGAGGGAAGAGCCTTGAAGCCTGATTATAAAATTGAGAAGTTTCCTCTACGTAGTCGCGTTGTCTGGTGCACTCATGTGCGCCGTATTTAGCCCTCGAAATTTGAGTATGTGTTTAATTGTCAAAATCTGCTCAATTCTACGTTTTTTTTTATGAGGTAAGAAGAGCTGCACGGTGAGAAGGCCGTCACATGGTCGCGGAGTGCACGCACGTACTGTAAACTATCACGCTCGAACACGGATCGCTCTCGCATTCACTGTATGCAGCACGCATTGTCACGCGTGCATACGACTTCATTTTCACTGCAGAAAGAAGAATTCGATAATATATGTTTCGCACCGTATATATCACGTTACCGTTTTCGGATTAGACAATCTTACTGGTAAGCCTTCCATATTGATAAAGAAAATAGGTACAATAAAATGTGGTTGTTGGTCCCTTTACCACAACGTGTAGCGTGAAATAGGTGCTCCTTGTTTCTCCTTAGCAAAAAATGATCCATATAAATTGACACGCCATTTCGGCATGAAAAAGTTATCAGTAAGTTGTATGGTCTGCAGCCATCCTTGGTCTTCAAGTATACAAACCTTGAATGAGCATATATTACGTAAAATGAAACAAAAAACTTAAAATCTTGTCATTGAAGACAGAAAGCATGAGACAGCTCTGCCGCAATGCAAACTTAACATGCAGTGAAGCACAAAAAAGAGTCTGGACTCGTCGTCATGAAAAAAAAAAAACGGTCGATTTTCTTATTGTTGTTTTGTTCAAGGATGAATTTTCGAACCCCTGAAAATGACTTCGTGGACCCGCTAAGGTCCCTCGATCCACATGTGAGAACTATTGGCTTAGAGCAAGCCTTCACAAAGGCAGTAGCCTATAATATGAGTCGCGCCCCGCCGTGGTGATCTAGTGGCTAAGGTACTCGGCCGCTGGCCCACAGGTCGTGGTATAGAATCCCGTTTGCGGCGGCTGCGTTTTCGACGGAGGCGAAAATTCTGTAGGCCCGTGTGCTCAGATTTGGGTGCACGTGAAAGAACCCCAGGTGGTCGAAATTTCCGGAGCCCGCCCCTACGGCGTCTCTCATAATGACAAGGTAGTTTCGTGACGTTAAATTGCACATATCAATCAATATCAATCAATATTATTTGCTGTATGTCACTGCAATATGAGTAATTAGGTAGTTATTTATAATAAACCTTGATACTTTGCACAACGGAAAACGGAAGTCTGTACAGAACAAACAGTCGGAGTCAGCATATTGAACAATTTTCGTCAAGGTACGAAGACAGGTGCTATTCTGTGGTATATATTGGTATAAAACTAGTAAACAGAGATAGAGCACGGTACAAGTATTTTAGTTTAACCTAATCACAAGGTATCAAATGTACTTATTTTTTATCATACCAGACATAAATCCATAAGGTATGTAACTGCGCAAAAAACTGACGGAAACAAGAAGGAGAGAAAAAGGACAGACAAGCGCAGACTATCAACTGACGCTTTATTGCAAGAACGAGGCAATATATATAATAGGCAGAAAAAAGCAAGAGGGGGCAAAGGGGGAGGAGAAAAAAACACACGAGGGACCAAATCACCAAACTCCAAATCACCAAACAAAAATGTTTTCGCGCAGCTTTCTTGCTAAATATCTAATTGACCTAACCTGATTATTGCCTGATATAGTAATAGAAACGTAACCTAAAAGAGTGCAAAAGAGACTCACCTAAGCAGCCCTTTATTTCGCTCTCTCACGCAGACATGTACAGAGTGGACGGCGCAGCCGTTCCCAACACGACGTGCAGCTACCGGTTCGCGAGCGCCAATCGCACGGAAGGCCACGGCCACTTCTACTCTCCGCTCTACCCGTCCACGTACCCCAAGAACGTGCGCTGCCTGTACAGCTTCGTGGCGCGCTTCAACGAGAGGGTTCGCATCACATTCGAGAAGATTCGACTTCAACAGGGTGACTACAGGTCAGCATCGTTCCTCCATATCCTCCGCCATGGAGGGAGCGAGAAGAGAAATCTGCGCTCGTTGCTAATAGTTCATTCTTGACCAGCTCACAACGCGGCAAAGAACGAACAGCACTCGTGTCTCGGCGCTTTTTTTTTATTTGCTTGAGCCTTAGAGCAATACCTCCTCTGTGGTATTGGTGAAGAAGTCATAATTTAAAATTAGGTTGATAATTCGAATAATGTTGAATCTCCTTGTTTTATCTTCGTACTCGTCCCATTTGCGCTGTAGGCTGGTCAAAGAGAAGGAAATGTTGCGTAATGAGACTGAAGTCCACTGTTGAAGTCCAAAACGTGATGAAAACGTTCAGAACAAGCAGCAGATCTTAGTACTATAGGTTTATGTTTTTTTTTTCCTAACCTTCTCCGTGAGCCGGCCGGTCTGCACCGAACAAGCGTGTTTCGATTGAAAGCTACCGGGCGATGTACCCCGATGCCTCGGCAAATCTCGCTTCTTGTGTTATCTTGACATACAAGTGGAGTAATTAGAATTAATGGTGGAAGTGCCTCAGACTGGCTGGCCGATGTTTCGGTAGGAGGACCTATCTTTTTCAAAGACGCCATGTGATCCTTGGCGTTTTAGTTTAAAGGGGGTTAGTGGTGACGTCTTTAAAACTAACACGCAAAGGATGGCGTGGCGCCTTTGAAAAAGATAGGTCCTCCTATCGAAACGTCGGCCAGCCAGTCTGAGGCACTTCCACTGTTAATCCTGATTATACCACTACGTTGTTTCCATCGGTCGGCTCCCATCAAGATTTTAGATTTCCTTGACGTAGAAGGTGACATGCTATGTTTTGTTATAAACGGGTTGTTTTGCCAAGGATGGGTACGTGACGTAATTTTTTCTCCTTTTATTTTATTTTCTACATGTTATCTCCCTTATTGCACTTGTTGTTTCAGAGAAGACAACCATATTATTTTTTTTAAATAAATGTATATAAGGAGAGCTTGGTGCCAATGCGTGGCGCCGGCTACTACAACCGTAATCTCTACGTTATTAATCCCTTCACCGCTTGTCTAGCTATACATAATCGCGGCAGGCTCCCAACTGATTCAGAAAGTCGGGGCTACCGATACGCGACATTTCGATCAGCGCTTATAATGCTTGCAGCTATGCTGAATTTGTGGAATCTTATAAGATGTTCCGGCCTTATTTGTTTGTTTCCGGTGACGTTTCGGTCAATGTAGAACGAACAAAAATGTTGGCATAAAAAACGGCTACTGTCTGTGTGTCAGCACACTTAAATGTATTTTGACGAATGGAACAGCTAAAGAGCTTTTGTTGATGACGGTACTTCTTGATGTGAAATTCAGGCGTAACTCTGCGTGTGTTTTTATTTCATGGTATAATAAAACAAAGAACTTGAGGTATGCTTACCTCTCCAAGCCTCTCTCCAAGCCCCTGATCATCACGAAGAAGCCTTAAGATCATAAAAACCTCATTCGGGCCGTCGTTTCTTGCGCATGACTCGTCGATGGTTCCAGAGTAATCCCGTAGCTTTCAGAAAGTGCTCTGCAGTTTGCGTTGCGCATACAGTTATATTGCAAATGCTATGACGCCACCTCCTAATATCATGCAGCGCGCTTCCGCTTGCCTCCGCACACCTTCAACTTTCACTGTGCCTGTTAACTAGTTTGTTGAAGCTGTTCTATACAGAGGCGGTTATCGAGCACACCTCCCATCTTTCACCCCTTTTTCTTTTTTCTTCATCCTATGCTATACTAAGAGACACTAACTCTTCCACGGCAAGAGACAGTCATGGACGAGGCGTGCCAACACACAACGCTGCAACAAGTGTGTAATATTTACATAATAAAATAGACCATTTCTTGCTTGTAGCACTTACCATTAGTATTGCTTTACGTCTACATGCATGGTACCTCCTTACCTCTCAGATGAGGTCTCTCTTCTAACTGCTCCTCGCCCATAATCGTCTCAATATCACCTTGAACTCTTCAGCAAACCGTAAATGTTTCACCTAACTTGAATAAGGCCACGGTGTCGTCCTGATTAGAAGCGCTGACGGTACATGATACTATTTTTCAACAGTTGCAGCTTTAAGAATGGTTTCTAGAGGTATATGCGTGAAAACATCGCTAACGTTTCGCAATGTATAATCTGAGATCTAAAGAGCATGTAACGGGTCTGGTAATCACTTGCCCTTCTAATACTGCCTGCTCATATAACTTTCGCCTGAGTACAACTTCATTTAATTAGGCAGCGTGTGTCAAGACGCGTGGTAGTCGGGAATTAGCGACCCTCGCGTCACAACTTGAGTGTGTAGACGTGTGCCACAGAAGCGTGAACGCTGGAGCGTAAAGGCTCGTACTGTGCCACAACATGCTACCAAATTGTGTTCAGCACATTCGTTTTTCTTGCTAACGGTTCTCCACAAAGAACTTGCACCGCGTCCCATATTCAGCTCAAAAATTAGCGTACTTTTCCTAATTCGAGAAAAAAAAGGTTGCAAATGAGTTTAGAGAAATGACCATTGTCGATTCACTTGGTTCTAACACCCAATGATGTTACCACGTGCGCCAGAACACGACTAAACAGCTTTGATTACCATTTAGCACTGCACCTTCGGGCAGATGTGCGGATAAACATTTAGCAACAACAAGTTGTAGAACACTTGTAAAAAGGCACGAGTGCCAAAAAAAAAAAAAACAGGTAAGGGCATTCTTCTGGCGCCTGTGCAGGTGAAATGCGATTCGAGAGGCCAACCGCGAGCAATCAATCCTCTTTCGCCGGCATTCAGTTTATGCCTCCCAACCCGCGAACCCGACCGTGGAAAAGGCAATGCTTGCCGCATTTTAACGCTGATGAATAACGCGCGCATAGAGCCGTGACAACACAAAGCGGCCTCAGGCAGTACGGACGTGCTAAACAAAACAACGGAATCGGAACAATGGTGGCAACATTCGACAGCGACCACTTCCGGAACAAGGCGAAGCAACGCCGTGGTGCATTTTTCTACGCGAAGAGCCAGCACCCGCGGATCTCAGAATTCCTTTGCCGCGCGTGTTTTGAAACGAAAACTGAATTGAAAAACGAAATTCCATCAAAGATGTTTGCTTCCGCATCGTTCATCACGACAGTAACTCGATTTCACGCAGACAGATGTCGTACGCTTGCTTGCTTGCTGACGGAGCTCGTGATTAGATGAATGTACGCCGGGTCGCACACGGTGTGGTGAACACGAGATTTGTCCCGGTGCAGATTGTAGAGAATAAGCTCCGAACTTTGCTTCTGTTTGAATTTCTCTCTTTACTAGTACCATTCTCCAACGCATACGGAAAGGCAAGTGGAGAAATAATTCACGAAGCATGTATTCCACAGCGCCACCTCCCTCGTTTGTCTCCATGCAACATTTCTTGAGGGAAAGTTTCATCTCGTTTTCCGAAATATTTCTCGCGTCGGAAAGGATGCACAGTTTATTCAATCTACAGGAATCTTATCCAGAAAGGGCTTTGCGGCTTTTACATTTCCCGTTATAGTACTATCACGCTCATTAACTCCAAAGGGATTGTGTACCTAAATGTGGAATGACAGCCGCCGTTAAGAGCTGCTCTTGATTCAACAATCGCAAGACATTCGCTCGGGCACCAGCTCATGAAAAGCAAGTGTAAATCCTTTATGCACAATTTAGTGGGTATTATTAACTTCGCCGATTTCGTATTACGGTGGGTAAAGTTGAATACAACGTGCTCGCTACGACTAAGTTGGGCGCAAGTGCGGTAGTGCCATGCACTATCCTAGTGATAGTGGGATAATCAGGGTTAACAGTGCAAGTGACCTCAGACTGGCTGGCCGATGTTTTGATAGAAGGACCTATATTTTTCAAAGGTACCGTGTCATCAATGGAGTGTTAGTTTCAAAGGGGTTAGTGATTGACGTCAACTCCTGGTGGTGGCGCGTGTCCGATTTATAATCGCCGTCTGAAAAGCAAAAAAAAAACTATAAAGCAGAGAAGTGCTGTCCTCGCTCACATTCAAGTTAGGTGGTAGACATTCAAAATTTGTTCTCGGGGGAGTGAAAAAAAAGAAGAAAAAAAACGCAAAGATAGGAGCGGTGTGCTGCAAAATCGGTGGCTGCGTCAGACGCGAAGAAATAAAAGAGCTTAAAGCTTCGAAGCCCGCAGACGGTCGCCGTGTCCGGCTGCCACAAAGGGTTGCCGACAATAGCGGCGACGTCTGTTCCCGAACACCTATGAATGGGACGCACAAGAAGAAGGCAGTTACAAACAAGGGTTCAAGCAAACGGCGTACTTTTGAACGCCAGTATATCGAAGGTAAGCGATGCATCTTCGACATCTTTTGCGGGGAGCTGTGCCTTGGGCTGTATATATGCAATGGACTCACGTTCATCCATCCATGAGTTCGTTCGTCCGTCCGCTTCACTCTACTCATCATCATTCACCTCGTGAATAGGCTGTGATTTTTTTTTCTAGATATATTCAGTGTAATATTTGTGCCCACATTTCTCCGCTTCGAAGAGACATTCACGCTTTTGAAGAAGTAGACGAAAGGAGCAACCATGGTGGTTAGCTATGCAGTGTCCGATGCTGGTAACAATCCTGTGCTGGGAGCCAGCGCTACAAGAAACCAACGAAAAAAATGTTTTTTTTTGTTTTTTTTGTGTGTTTCCCATCAGAACGTGAGGTTGAAGTTGAACGTGCATTATTCATGTTACGTTACTTTTGGTCACGCTGAAGCAGCTACGGCTCTTAGAAGACGTCTCGCGGCAATCGAGCCAAAGACCAAGTATGCCTGGGAATGAGCTGAAGTGTTGGGAAAGAACGGTCACGCTTTATCACTGCGTGAAATCAATGCTGAACATGTTATCATTTCCCTCAAAGGAGCTAAACGCTAAAGTGAACTCGTTCCGAGATAAAACTCATTACTGCATCTGCCAGCTATTGGCAGCGAGATCGGCCTATAGGTGGCAGCACCGTCCTGTG